CATGAATAAGGCATTGGGACATTTACACATAAGCAACAATAGATCAGAATCCGTCCGCAATTACTGGACGACATGGTCTTGTTGCATTAATGGGGTGGATCAGCAGTCAAGGTGGTACGTTTGGGATGTCCATAACTGTATAAGCCAAGCGTAATTGAAATGAACCTAATTGACCTTCTCTGGCGAATGGCTTGCAATGTACAAATAAGAGCCCTTTCACATTTCACAAAAGATCTTAATTTTTGAGCGCCTCGTTTACCCCCTTAGAAAATATTTTGACTATTTCCAATAGAAGTAAATAAGTAGATTTATTCTTCCTATTGTAAGTTAATGTAGAAGCACTGATCGTTCTACTGCAGCTAGTTTACGGAAAAAACGATAATATGCACAACTTCAAGCGCCTCAATCTCTCAATAATGTTCAATAAATTACATCAAATTAATTACTAAGACATTAGAAATATGTTTTTGTTGTAACATAATGTATTAGAATTTTGATTTTCCATCTCATTAATTATCAAAAAAAAACATCAAACCTCCGTGAGTTTTCCCAAAAAATAATGCAGGTTTACCTCGTATTTTGATATCAAATTAAACAGATAGTAGAAAATATAGTAATTATCATTGCATTATACAAGAATGTAGAAACATATCATTAAAGACTCAAAAAAGTTGTGGTATACCTACACATGAACACATGTTTAAAACTTGCTAAATCCTGTAACTTTATCGATTTTCTTTTAACAAAGATCACTTCGATGTTAGTACTCATTGAATAATATTTAAAGTTTAAAAATACAATTTTTAAGGTAATGAATGTACCTACTAAGTCAAAGAGTTTTGTCGTTTCTGCTTTCACAAATTCGGCGTCCAGCATTAATTTAGTCAACAAAACCAATATACGGAAACTTTTCTACAAGATATAAGAGTTTTTAGATATATTTTAGTCCGACGAAAGACACAACAGTAACACGACAATGACGTTTAGTTGTTTACCAACTTCGTGACGTCACAATAACGGTGGACAGCGTTTTTAGTGTTTAAAAAGTATAGACTAAAAAACTATTTTTCAAATTAAATAACTACAGCCATCTCCTCATTTTATGAAGTGAAATCGATATATTTAGGTTCCTCATACCAAAAATTATAAGAAATAAACATTTGTATAATACAATTTGACATGAGTCAACTAGCCTATTGTGATATAATAAATATAAAATGTATAACAAAACATGTGCGTATACTATGTTCGTCGTGCCAAGTTTTGGTTTTTGCCAAATTACGTTTCGGGTGATTCATAATATCAAACAAACAAATAGATATTATTTGTTTAGGGTTAGTGATCTTAGTAATCGAGTGGCTAGTACACAGATTTTCAATGTGTCGCCATAATGTATGTGCTGAGTTCTAGAGATCAAATGAAACTATTTTTTTTGATGTGTAACATCTTTCCTCTCGCTTTCCTGCAATTTGTGGGAGTGATTTCGTGAAATGGGACGGAAGCGTGTAACAGGAAGTCGCGAAAGCGCGCGCTATTTGATTTGATTTTAGAACATAATGTTCAAATGGCTTATTCCTTTTGTAGTAGGTTTCATTTCTTTTTTTACTAATATAAGGTGAGGTTTCAAATGTTACACATCATACGCGACTACTGTAAGGTTCGCTCGTTTTTTCTAGTGATATTTTCTTTAGATATCTGGATCTAGATATTACAAATCTGGATATTAGAAGTACTTTATTCGTTTCTGATTTTTTAGCTAGGCATCTGAGGGATGTTGTCCAATATTTATTTATTTAATAAAAATAAAATTATCTAAATCAGTTATTTACTGCGCGGTGGGAACGCAAAAGCAACGTTCTATTATTTATTATATAATGATCCGATTCCATATATAATTATTGATATTAATAATATTCTTGATTTTATGTAATTTATATGGCTAAATGGCTGAATAAATGAATTGAATTGAATTGACTAATAAAAATGTAGCTCATAGTTGGTTTCTAATTTTTATAATAAAACTACTTTTCATGTTTGATTCAGTAACATATGATCAATGTGGATGAAATAACTACACATACATGGATTTTTATAAGAATGCAGAAAAGGAAATCATACTATAGTTTTACAGTCAAAAGTATGCGGCTAATCTTTGGCAAAAATCTTTAAGCGTATCACTTGATATTTACCACAGATTAGCTTTGAGTAAATATCACGTGATACACGTTTGTGGCTCGCCTCTAGAGTCGTCGGCGAAGCAAAAGGCCCATCAAGTACTGTTATAGAATTAAAACGACGTCTCTCTGTAACGCGGCGTCGCTTTTTGTTACCCACTATGTATGTGGGTACTACGTCTATGTCATTCGATCCTCCGCTTTAATTAACTTCATTATAAGGGAAAGTATTTAAAATTTATGATTTTATTTATTTATTAAGCATTTAACTGCTAGATGTTTAAATCTAAAGAAAAGTTTACTAGAAAAAAAAAATCCACGCGGACCAGGCAGCGGACGGGACTCGAACCCGCATCCTTCGCTATCCGGGCGAATGCACTGACCATTATGCTACCACGGCCCTATTAGCCGCGTCGAAATTTTCCTAGCCTTAAGCTGCAAGGCAGCGCCATCTCTTCGCATTGTAAGTAGGTAACCCAAAATGTCAAATGAATACTTTTTCAAGTATTAAACATTTGAAAGAAGAAATAGCAATTATAGTTATGATTTTATTTATTTAAAATTTCCTCAGAAAAATAATACGATATAAAAAAATAATCAAATAGTATTGAACACGTATTTTTTTCACACGATTAAAACATTACAGGGATTTATTGTTTTGAAATGGTGCGTGAAATTTTTTGTAGCAGTGACGTCACGCCCCAAGGGGGGGGGGGGGGGGCTCATCTTTCACTTTTGGTTGATTGACAAAAGAAAAAATAAGTGTCCACTAACTAAATACAATTTCTTTTAGTTACCCCGTCATCATCCCTATTGGTAACCTTATTTATGTTATAGGGGGCATACGAGCAGACGGCTCACCTGATGGTAAGTGATCACCGTCGCCCATGGACACTTGCAACACCAGGAGTATCACAAATGCGATGCCGGCATTAAAGGAAGAAGTACGCTCTTTTTTTGAAGGTTTTTGGGTCGTATTGGTCCGGAAAGACTGCTTAATTTAGTTATGTGCTCATCACGGCGATTCGGGGGGACCAACTGGATGCGGAAGGCTCAGGATGGTTGCGCGACTCGCAAGTCGCACTTTCAGTGAAAATGGGGGCCTACTGGAGCGAATGAAAAAACATTTTTAATTTTAAACATATTACCGCCTGAAAATACAATAATCAAAAAGTATTAGAAACGTATTTTTTTCACATGATTTAAACATTACTGAGATATTATTATTGTTTTTTTTTTATTATTATTGTTTTGAAATGTCGCATGTCGTCACGTTTTGGTGCAATTTTTACGTAGCAGTGACGTCACGACCCTCACGATCCCTAGAGGAGGCCTATGTCTAACAGTAGACGGAGGTGCACAATAAATTCGTATGAAATTTTATCTAACTTTATAGCCATTTTTACTTTTTGTTTTTGTTTAGGATTATCATTATCTTAGAATCAGAATCAGAATTTTATTTGTGAAATATAGGTTAGTATACATGGTATATAAATTGGTGGTATATATCTTATCATCATCATCATCAACAGCCTATCTTAGTCCATTGCTGGACATAGGCCTCTCCAAATGCACGCCACTCAGATAGATCTTGGGCTACTCGCATCTCCTGCCAGCCACCTTGCGCAAATCGTCACTCCATCGCGCCTGAGGACGTCCTACACTACATTTGCCTAGACGCGGTCTCCACTCCAGAACTCGTCTACCCCAACGGTTATCGGTTCTATCTTAGAAGAGTTCATTATCTTATATTTATATTGAATTTTATAAACTTAACATTCTAATCAAATAAAAACAAAAATTACCTTTATTGAACTTGTTACTATTTAGTTCATTTTTTATTGATATTTTTTTATGATTTAATTTTATCTTAAGTTTTAGTCAAAATAAAAACAAATCAATAAAATATCGGTCCGCCTGAGTCAGTGCAACATACAAAACATACAAGTATCTTTAGAAGCTATCAAAGTAAGTTGCTCAAACACCCATGTAATTTAACATAATTTCATTTCATTCTTAGTTCAATAACTAATCAATAGGTTCCAATTGAAAATAACCGTGACCACCTATACCTCGGGAAGCGACGAAGGCTTCGGCCATAAATTACTTAGATCCCATGAGGGGCCATTCTCTATTAATGAAGTAATTACCGAGCAGTGGCCGGCTAATTTCGCCAGATTACTAAACACACCGACTTATTAAAAATGAGAAGGCAGACATGACATTTCCTCTCATTGTTTATTAATTTGCCCTCTTGATAGTGTAATTTGCTAACATGAGGTCCGAACGCCATAGGTGGAAGTAAACTATTATAAATCTCTACACAAAGATATATTGTTCTGCACAAAGCTCCAGCTAATTTCATTGAGCTTCTAAAATTAAAATACTGCATTTTATACTGCAAAAAACACAGTCACAGGACTGCACTCATATTTTATTAAAATCGTATTTTTCGCATAAACCTTGCAATAGAATTAGTATGTTCTATTTATCATTTTTCAGATTAACCAGGATTATGGTAGCGAGATAATACAAAAAGAACACTAGCTTATTAGACGAAGAACATCTACCCACGACACGACCATACTTTCAAGTCTGAAGAACTAACTAAAAAGGAAAACTCCTGCACCCTGCTCGCGGTCACTCTCCACTACGTCCCGGCAGCTGCTTTGCGCGGTGATGCCTGAAGGAGGTGCGCTCATCACTCCTGGTTCCAGCACGTACCTTCGTGGTGTGGGTGAAGGCTCGTCAGCAGGCAGGAGTCATCGCCCGGCTCGCGACAACATTCCGGCACATCCAGGCAGCTGGTCTCTGAAGGAAGTGCACTTATTGCTCCAGGTTGCAGCACATACCTCCGTGGTGTGGGTGTACGCTCATCTGCACGCAGGGGTCGTCGCCCAGCTCACGATAACAGTCCAACACGTCCAGGCAGCTGGGCTTTGAGTGATGCCTGAAGGCAGTGCACTCATCGCTGCACGTTGCAGCACATACCCCTGTGATGCGAGTGAACGCTCATCAGCAGGCAGGGGTCGTCGTCTGGCTCGCGAAAAGTTCCCATCACGTCCAAGCCGCTGGGCTACAAGGTGATGCCTGAAAGAAGTGCACTCATCGCTCCAGGTTGCAACACATACCACCGTGGTGTGGGTGTACGCTCATCAGCACGCAGGGGTCGTCGCCCGACTCACGATAACAGTCCAACACGTCCAGGCAGCTGGGCTTTGAGTGATGCCTGAAGGCAGTGCACTCGTCGCTGCACGTTGCAGCACATACCCCCGTGATGCGAGTGAACGCTCATCAGCAGGCAGGGGTCGTCGCCCGGCTCACGATAACAGTCCAACACGTCCAGGCAGCTGCGCTTTGAATTATGCCTGAAGGCATTGCACTCATCGCTGCACCTTCCAGCACATACCTTCGCGGTGCGAGTGAACACTCATCAGCATGCAGGGGTCGTCGTCCGGCTCTCGACAACTTTCCATCACGTCCAAACAGCTGGGCTACGAGGTGATTCCTGAAATAAGTGCACTCATCGCTCCAGGTTGCAGGACATACCTCCGTGGTGTGGGTGTACGCTCATCAGCAGGCAGGGGTCGTCGCCCGGCTCGCGACAACATTCCACCACATCCAGGCAGCTGGTCTGCGGGGTCACGGGCACGTGTACAGCCGACCAGCCGGCCCCGCTCTCGCACCACACTCTCACGATCATCTGCCGAACAAAAAGTGTCCTTATTGATCACGATGTTCTTACCAATCTAAAACCATTGATGAACTTTTTTCTTCATCAGTCTGGTCACCGCCAACGATGACCAGATTGATAAAGACTCGGGTAAAGAAGAAGTCGGTAGACATTAACAAGTTGCCTCCAAGTTTTCTTCGAGCACCAGCAGAACCTACTGCTTTTAGAGAAGAGTCAGGTGAACCATGTGAGTCTCAAGAACCGTTGCAAAAACGCGTAAAAAAGTATATTTGGAGAAAAAGAGGCTTATAACCTAGAGCCATTACTGGGCGACCAGTTTATCACGTTCCAATAGAAGGAAGTCCAATAGAATGGTTTTTCTTGTTCTTTTCTCGTGGTCTATTTGAGGTGCTGACGAGTGAAATAAATAAGTATTTAGAATAAAAATTTCTTACTGCTGATGTCAATATGGAAAAAATGAAAGGTTTGATTGGAATTCTGTTAGTCAGTGACTACTGTCAAGTCAGCAGAAGAAGAATGTTTAGGGAAAACGCACCTCAACATACAAAAAAAGATTCTGTTTCTCAGCCACATTTCATTTATTAAAATAACAAGAACATGGGGGGTGTAAATTTATCAGATCAGAACATATCTTCATTGCGAACCAGCATTCGCGGGAAAAAAGTTACATGCATCTGATTCTGCATTACATTTATATATTTGTGCAAAATGCATGGTTACTTTACAGACATAATGGCAATCATATGGACTCGGTAAGGTTTCGGTGTCGAATTGCAAATACACTTATTGATGGCAATAAACATAGTGCAAAACCAGGTCCGAGTCGACCATCTTCAATTATTTTTTAGTCGCGATGTAAAGAGCACTGCGCTGCTAAGTAAGTTAAGGGAACCAGGTGTGGACAATGTCACAAAAAATGTTTAACAACGTGTGTGTGCAATATTGGTGTAGACGTGGAATATTTTATTATTTACCATTCAAAAGAATAAGTGAATATTTGAGTCGTAATATCAAGTGTTTTATGCTAATAGTCCTACTTTAATTTGAATTGTTTGGAAAAAATTTGGAAAAAGTGATAGATAATTATGATGAATAAATTTTTATTTTAATTTTATGCAAACATTTTTTTTGTGAGAAATCTTTACCCTTCCTAAGGGTCTCCAAACAAATTTTTATTCGGGGCCCCGCCAAGGCACGCTACGTCACTGCTAGGCATTGTAATATTATGAATAGGCTATATTTGTAATCATTAACTACTGAACCGATTTCGAAAATTCTTTCACCTATAGAATTCTTCATTATTCCTCAGTAACACAGGGGCGAAGTCACAGCGAATCGCTAGTTATCAATAAGTCAATTATTCACACAACAAGGATTTTCGTATAATTTTCGTCACGATTTTTAATTATTTATCATTAAATATGCACTGACACTAAAACTTGAAAAACACGTTAAACTTTATCGAATCGAAAAATATAATAGAATTTCACGTGACGTTTGACATTTCGATCCCTTTTGCGGTTCCGTGGTGAACTTGATCCCTTTTCAAGTTGAGCATCGAACTTAAAGAGGATTCACGAAACCAGAAAAAGGCCTAACCAGAAAATGGGAAGAATTTTAATTAATTTCACGTAAAATAAAATAAAAAAACAAAGTATTTGTTTCTTAGGTTTTCACGCACATCACTCATTTAATAAAACTAGTTTTTACGGGTTAATGCACGAAACTTTATTTATTTATTGACGTTTCGTAGCCTTTACAGGCTTCGTCGTCAGAATAAAACTTTTATTTAATTTGTCGAGCTACCTTCGAAAGACTTTTATTGAGCGTTTGGTTATTTCATTGTTCGATTTTTAAGTTTTATTGTCCATTAATAAATTCATACATAGACAATAAAACTTAAAAATCGAACAATGAAATAACCAAACGCTCAATAAAAGTCTTTCGAAGGTAGCTCGACAAACTAAATAAAAGTTTTATTCCGTTTTAAAGTAGGCAAACGTTAAGAATGAAAAAAGTTAAGAATCTGTATTATAAAAAGTAGTGTGAAGCAGTATGTCAAATCACTATTATTGGGTTCCAAATGTTGAAAATTTCCATCATCATCTGATGATGATTCCATAAAAAATTAAAAATTTCCGTATTAAGTGTAAAATAGTAGCCAGGAACAATTTGCTAGAGAGATGTCACACCAGGCTCACCCTGTCAACAAAAATTCTATTTCCTCTGGTTAACTACCTACCCTATGAAGATTTATTTATATATTTATTCATTGCATATCACATTCACAAAAATAAGGTGGTATATAACAAATACAGTAACCATGTGACGCCCTGCAAGGGCACAGCAACTCTAGAGGGTTATTATCTATTTAAGATACATTATTAAACAATTGCGCAATATAATTTATAAATTAAGTAGCAATCATTCTATACATGCATTGGTATTTGGTGTCAACTCTAGCATGACTCTCCAACCAAAACCTAAATTTGACGACAGATCTAGAAACCTTGCTAATTGCAGAGATTTGCTTTAACAAAACTTCCCCAGACATGCTGTCATTAGAGAGGACATCCGTTGAATCCCCTAAGCGCGTTGCTTCGCTCTGACTAATTTATTTCAGGAAATCTACGACATAGTTTAATTTCTAACTACATAAGCAAATATTATCCTTATGTCAGAAGGCAGTTACAGTTTTCTTAGTAACAGGTAATCGTAGTAGCATTATCATTAATGTGTGTATTAGGAGCTATAATATTATCCACTGAACACAGAAAGAGGTTAGAAGGGCGATCATAGACCGTTTGTACGGGAATCGATGTCACTGGCTCGCTCTCACGACACTTCCACCTAATAGATAATAGCCAATCAAACGACGCGACATCAAACAATCGAACCAATCAGTGCTCACACCCGAGAGAAATTAGGACCAAGTTTTGGTCAAGTTATGAGCATTTGGTCACACATAACTGCGGCGCGCCTGCACCGCCCACCTTTTGTGTTCATATTTCTGTGTTCCTTAATATTATCTGATTAAAATGTGGAGTTTCGAACTATTAAATACTTAACTTATCAAAACGTAATGCATTTTTGTTCAACTTATTCATCCCGCTGATTTTTCAGAACTTCACATTGGGTCATTTAAAAGTAAAATAAATAAATATTTCCAATTCTGTATGGCTTGTGTTATGGGATACTAGGGTAACGGATAGAATACATACACACATATTATACAGGGCGTCCCACGGCTACCTCACACGGAGGGAAAGTATATTAAATATTGAAGATAGGATATTTCACTGAAAGAAGACATTATTTTGTTTTTAATAATAACAAGAACTGCATTTACAGATATTTTCAAAAATCGCCTGCTACAACTGGGAATCAAACTCGGTGAAATTTCGAAAAAATAACACAACATATTTTATGATAACCATCGAAAGAGTTAATCATAAGGATTATTTTTTGCTAAATAACATAGCATGTTATAATGAAAGAAAAGTAATTGTCATAAGAATCTATGTTTTGTTAAGTTCATTTTGGTATATTAATGGTTACATAATGAATAAACTTGTTTCAATTATTTTATATTAAACATGTGACAGAATTTATGACCTGACTAGGTATATATATAGTACAAATGCTTGTATTCATCACACAAACATCTGACCCCACCGGGATTCGAACCCGGGATCTCTCAAGACGACACCATGAAACCCGACGTACAAACCACTCGGCCACGGAGGTCGTCAAAAGTAATAGAAACATTATTGAGGTTATCGGATAAACGCGATCATAAGCACATTTTGAGCACGATTAAAGGAGAAAGATTGATTTATAACACTCCCTGTGTGCAATAGGCTAGTTGACTCATGTCGAATTGTATTAAATAAATGTTTATTTCTTAAAGTTTTTGGTCTAAGGAACCTAAATATATCGATTTCACTTCATAAAAGCATAAGATTGCTGTAGAAATTTAATTTAAGAAAATAATTCTAGTCTATACTTTTTAAACACTAAAAACGCTGTTTGCCACATCCGCCATGATTGTGACGTCTCTTTTAGTAAACAACTAAATGTCATTCATATATAACTTTAAAACTTGAATTATTAAAATTGATAATAAATGAAGAGACTTAAAATATTATTCAATGAGTACTTACATCAAAGTGATCTTCGCAAAAATAAATTTTACTATGAGTCGATAAAGTTGCAGGAACACTTTTAGCAAGTTCTAACCAGCGTAGGTTAATTTATTTCGGCACTTTAATCCACAACTTTCCTGGAGTCTTCAAGGATGTGTTTTTACATTCTCGTACAATACAATAATGATTATTACTATATTTTTCGTGGTATTTATTAGAAATCATGTTTTCTTTTTTATTATAAACTCAGATAGGTTATTTTCTACGTGCTTACGAGTTTTTGTTTACTACCGTCGACGTCATAGCATAGATAATGTATAGACTAAAATGGCCGACAGCGTTTTTGTATGTCCATGAAAAGTCTATTTTAAAATTAAAGATTTGTAGCTTTCTAGGTCTCAAAAAAATACAATACATTTTTTTTCGGTCTAATAGAACATTTACTAACCATTTATAACATTTTTCCAAAAAGGGTCAACTAGCCTATAGGTGTGATGACGGGGTACAGTAAACGAAATTCTATTTAGTCCGTTAGTTAGATGATCAAAAAATAATGGACACGTTTTTTTTTCTTTGGGCAATCAACCAAAAAATGACAAAGTTATAGCGCGTCAAAGTTTGGGAGTTGGGGCTCGTGACGTCACTTTTGAGTGAATTTTCACTACTACTTCGTACTCAAACGTGACGTCATGCGACTTTTCAAATCAATATATCTCTGCAATGTTATATATTATGTGAAAAAAGAAAAAATACGTGTCCGATACTTTTTTATATTCTACCTGATAAACGAAGAAAAAAAAATAGTCATCATCCCTATTGCGTGACCTCATCTATATGGGTCAGAACTGAAAATCAGCGATTTAC